ATGCCAGGAGGAAATACACCATAGTCAATGGACAAAAGTCAGAAAAACAACACCAGGTTCAGGAAGGTCATTGGCTGCTGGTGCTGCTGTGGTAAAACCTGTGGGGTGACACTAGGAATTGCAAAGGAAGAGCTCATCAGGAAGTAAAGCATTTCAAAGGAGAACTGGAATAGTTTGAATTGCAACAAAGCCTCCCAGACCCCTTCACTGCCATTCTCCAGATGTTTCCCTACCCCAACTCCCAAATCAACACTTCCCAGGTCCAAATTGAAATGCAAAAATCTAACTATATACGTTTTGCTGATATAAATTTCCAGAATATATTCACCTATCATTTACTCATGAGAGTTCTGGTAGCAGAGTGACTAAGGCACTTGACTGCTAACCAGAAGGCTGGCAGTTCAAATCCACCAGCCATTCCTTGGAAGGAAGATGGGGCAATCTACTTCCGCAGTGATACTGCCTCGAAAACCCAAGGAGGGGTCACTATGAGTCGGGTCCGACTCGACGGCACATAACAACAACAACATCATTTACTCAAGAAAGTAGTGTATCAGTTTTGCTTATTGACAGTTTTATTCCCTAGGTAAAGCATGTCAATAGTGTTGTTGTTGGGTGTCATCAAGTCGATTTCAACTAGTGACTCCTTATGACAGAGTAGAACTGCCCCCACAGGGTTTTCTAGGCTGTGATCTTCATGGGAGAAGTTCTCCAGGTCTTTCTCTCACAGAACCACTGGGTAGGTTCGACCCACCAGCCTTTTGGTTAGCAGCTGAGCACTTAACTGTTTGTGCCATCAAGCTCTTTATGCAAATAATATCTTCCCTGAATATGCACGATGAACCTGGCTCACCCCTCATAGACTTCATCTCCATTACCTTTAAAGCTCCACCCCCTCAAAAACAATTAACTTTAGGGGGTATAATTTGCATTCAATTTGTTAATAAACTGAAAAAAATTAATCTGAAATAACAGCAACAACAACAACAAAAAAAATCCTTTCTTTGAAATGTATTACTTAATCAAATTCCAAATGATACCCTGAATTATATTTACTTTATAGAACAAAAAGTCACTGGTGGTAAGAAATGTTTGGATTATACTATACCTTTGGATATTTAAAAAAAAAATCAAAATCAATTTGGTTTGAATATTTACCCTAGCACCCTGGCTCACAGAACCACTACATGGATTTATAGATTAATTAATCAAGCAATCTATGTGGAAAGGACCAAGAATGCTTTAATTTTAATTTATTTTCTGGTACATCTAAAAGAAAAAAAATAAATCATTATGGATTTTGCAAAGTGCATTTTTATCTTTCTCTCTAATGAGAAAGTGAAACAAGAGACATTCATTGCCTCCCTAGAGAATCTTATAAATTGCAAAGAATATCCTCCTCTGAGGTATTTACCCAGAAACAGCCAGGCTGCGCAGTCAATCATTGTAGGGAATATGACTGGGCCCCTGATGGCCTCTTATAATTTTTCTAGTTAATGCATTAAAAGAGAAAGGGGGTAAAGTTAGTTTTTAAATTAAAAAAAAAAAAAAGGCTGTGTTAGAGGTTCCCCATTCTGTATTGTGTTACTGGGTCACATGGCAGAGGTCAAAGGGCAAAAAGAAGTAAATGTAACATGGAGCTGTAACTCACAAGGGTTTCATCACTAGATGGTTAATCTTGGGAGAGAAGGGGAAAAAAAAAGGAAAGATGAAACTGTTCCCTAGCCTTTTATGGGATGGGGAACAAGGTCTCAAGCAAATCCAGAAAGTAAAAGAATGTGGCTATTAGCACAGTGAATGGCCAGGTCAGAACAAGCACCAGTGTGGCCTGAGCATCCTGCACCACTAATAGCTGCTGTCATGTATAATTACTGTGAAATAAGCATCATGAATACAAATCAATGAGTGGCAGCACTAACGTAATTATAGTAAGTCATACTGCCATGTGTCAGGCGCATGTTAACAAGAAATCATGATAACTTCTATCAAAAAGTTTTTTGTATTTCTAATAACTCAAGCTGCATCCCTACCAGTAGAAGAGTAAATAGTACTATAGAAAAACTTCTGCCAAGAGAAAAAGTATGTAACTATGAACTTGGGAAACTTGAGTTCTAGTCCCACATGCTGAAGCAAATAATTAAAGTTTGTTATTAACCCAATTTGTACTCTTCTCAAATAACACACAATTCCCCTCACCCCAGGTTTACAGTTCTTCATTCTCTGCAAAGAGGATTTTTCTCAGAGATAGCTAAAGTATGAAGAAACAAGGACCAGTTCACTATTGCTGAGAAAAACCTCACTTGGTCATGGTCCCAGCTCCCTTATCTACTTTATCATCTTTGTCTTCCTGTGAAATGCTTTAAGTGAATAACTTAAGACTTTCAGAACCGAGATAGTGTGTAATTCAATGGCATTTAAAATATTCAAAGAGTTGTTTTACCATCACCACAACGGATTTTTGAACAGGGACATACCTTTTAAACACTGTAATTCATTATACAGAGAGAAAGCCAAGGTCCAAAAGGGTTAAGCCACATTCCAAAGGTCATAGAGCTGGTCAGTGCCAGAGCCCAGCCTGGATCCCAGGGAATAATTTAGTCACTGACATCATCCAGGACTCTATTTCCCCTGCCTCTGGGAAAGTTCCACACGAATTATTACCCACTGCTCAAATATTGTCTGAGAGGAAGGTCTGGCATTTTTCATTATTCTGCTCACTCTTATTATATTAAATCTTGTCCAATTTCTCCCCCAAGTCTGTTGCATTGCAAGATTTCTTAGAAAGAACTTCCAGAACAGACTTTTTCAAATATCTATTGGACATTTCAACCACAGAATGTGGTGCAGGTTCAGAAAAAATTCCCATCTTTCTTTTCAGAAAAAGTCACAGACTATTTCAACTCATGCAAAAAAAAAAAAGAAGAAGAAAAGGCTAAACTAGATCCTCCAGTTATTTTGTTTTTAATGATCTGATTATGGGTGGTTAAACTAAAGTACCTCATCATTTCCATGGTAATTCTCCAGTGTAAATAACTTCCTAGGATTTCAACCATTCACTGGCTGGTGGTCAGAAACCAACTTGAATCATCCAAGGGCTGTGTATGGCTTATCTCTGAGATTCACTCTTAGGAAGTATGTACTCAGTAAATCAGAAATTTTCAAAAGAGGAGGCTAGTTCTCTACCAGTGGTAACGAAGCCAGTATAACTCTGGGCACTGCGCTGACCACAGCAGCACCAGCTCTCCTGGCTGCCCAAGCAGAGAGTACTCTTCAGTTCTCGGCTCACAGTAGCACTTGCTGACCGCCCTTCTTTAAACGTTCTGCCTCTCAGCGTTTCATGATTCTTTTCCGTCTCCCAAGTTCTACTAGTTCTTTCCTTCCTATACTCCTTCATCACCCACCCCTGCAAAAAAAAATCATTCATTCAATAAATATTGAATTGTCACTGCTCGCCAAGTGCTGGGCTAAACCTTGTCCCTAAACATGGACTCTCCCTCTGGTCTATAGTTAGCTAACTGTCCATTTCTTATTTTCATCTGCACTTATATTTTTAAATCTTTGGAGGCTGAAAACCCCCAAAAATCTATAGCTCCAGTCTTGGCCTTGCCCTCTGAGCCCCAGGTCAGAATATGCACCAGTTCCCAAGCTGGTGACACTGGAATGTCCCATTCTGCAAAGTGCTGGAATCCAGCAGTGAGTATACATACCATCTCCCCACTTGCCCAATTGGCTCCTCCTCCAAGGCTCCTCATCAGCCTGAATAGCACCACTGTCCACCCAGTTTCTCCAGCTGGAAACTGGGTATCACCCAGTTTCCTCTGGAAGGGGTGTGGGTGAGGGGACAGCAGCGCCTTGCAGCATGGTACTGAGGTTAGAAGAAGAAAATCCTCTAATTTCAGCTGCTTTTCAGGGCCAATTTGTGGGAGATGCAGGATAAGACCTTAACGCAAATGAGGATTCTAACAGAAATCTTGTCCATTTAGGGGTGGAGGTGGGGTTGGTGTTGAGCAGAGCAATATATCCAGACTTAAGAGTGGGGACAGGTTTTACGATGCAAACTCTGTCATGGCTGGAAGAGCCTGCAATCTTGGAATACAAAACTGCTTGGTGTCAACAGCTCAACACACACACACACACACACACACCCCAATTTCGTGCCTTCCTGCCTATTTTCCTGTTTCCTCTGCTCAGAACGCCCATCTTCCATTCCTCCCAGACCCTCAACCAAAATTTCTCCCATACTTAAATTCTCAAATGACCTGTCTCTTCCTCCGGGAAGCTTGCCCTGAAGCCTCCACTGTGTTATCTGCCATCCTCAGTGTGCGGAGGTGTGTCTGGCACTGTTTGTTTACATGTCTGCTTCCGTGACTCCCCACTAGACTGTCAGCTCTTGCAGAGCAGAAGCCTGGTGCCGAGCCCCTGGCCAACACTGGGAAAATGAGGAGGAGGGAATGGACAGCAGCGGAGCGCCCCAGCCCGGGAGCCAGGCTCAGTCTAGAGGGGTCCATTTCCAGGCGCGCCCGAGGGAGCGCCTTGGGGCCCAGCTAGGCGCCGAGTACACAGCATCCCTGGAACGGGGTGCCCGCGCGGCCGCCCCAAGACAGGCTCCCAGCACCAGCCACAAGGCGGGGGAACTCGAGGGAGGACCTGCCGGGACCTCGCTCCTCCCAGCACAGGTCCAGGAGAGACACTGAGTGGAGCTCCAGGCCTTGGGACGCCCACTATCTCTCCCGAGCCCAAGACCCTGCGGCCCGCCACCTCCTCCAAACCTCTCAGATTTACAGCAGCTGGGGTAGAGCCGGGGGCGGGGGCCCGGGAAGAAGGAGGCGCCAAGGAGCGAAGAGGAGGGCAGGAGGCCCCTCACCCCACCCGCGCGCCCTCCTGGGCGGGAAGAAACCGAATCCTGGGAGAGGCCGCTCAGAAAGCAGGACCCCAAAGGCTCAGGAGCCCCGAGAGACCACAGCCCTTATTACCTCTCTCCCTCCTTTCTCACTTCCTACCTGGCTGGCTTTGTGGAACTGCTTCTTCAGCCCGGTTATCGACATCGCGACTACGCTCAAATGGGGTGGTGGTCTCTGGGTTCGGCCGGGCCACGCGGTCGCGACGCTCTGGGAGACCGGGCGCCCGGGCCGGTCCCCGCGCGGCTGGGCTCCGCCGAGCCCGCCTCCCACGGCCAGGACCACAGCGACAGCCGCTGTCACACTAGCACACGCGAGCACGCAGATGGCAACACTGCGTTCCAAAGCCCCTGCGCAGCCCATTGGCCACGCCGCGGCAGTATGCAAATGAAGCTGCTGGGGCCGCCCACGCCTCATTGTTGCGTGGAGACCGGGAAGACTTGGGCGGACTGGAAAATGGACCCAGGAAGCCGGGCGTGGGGATGTCTCTGGGGACCAAGGACCAGGGCTACACAGGATTTCCTTCTGGGCACCGGACTGGATGCATCTGACTTTTAGACCATCAAGTAGGGAAGAGCAATCACTTCTCTGTGCTTCTCGAACTTGGTGTGGAAACCTTTTGCTTCAGGCAACATACCACCTTCTTGCGAAGCATTTTGATGGGTTTATGTTTTTGGGTTTGGATGATTTGAGATTAGAAAAAGGACTTGGTGATCTACTGCTGAAAAATTTATCCTGTGAAAACCTTATGAATAGCAGATCATGGTCTGATATAGTGCCAGAAGATGAGTCCCTCAGATTGGAAGGCACTCAAAATAGGGCTGGGGAAGAGCTGTCTCCTCAAAGTAGGGTGACCTTAATGACATGCATAGAGTAAAGGTTTTGGGACCTTCATTTGCTGATGTGGCACTGCTCAAACTGAGAAGAAACATCCACTGATAATCAGAAAATGGAATATGTGAAATATGAATCTAGAAAAAATTGAATGCTTTAAGATTGATATCCTAGGCATTAGTAAGCTGAAATGGACTGGTATTGGCTATTTGAATTGGACAATCATATGGTCTACTAGGCCAGGAATGACAAATTGAAGAGGAATGGCATTACATTCTTTGTCAAAAAGAAAATTTCAAGACCTATCCTGAAATACAAGACTGTCAATGATAGGAAAATATCCATATATATACATACAAGAAAGACTGATGACTGGAATGCAAAAATTGAGAACAAAGAAGAGGATTACACCCACACACACACACACACAGCCATAGAGTCTGATCTGACTCATAGCGACCCCTCCTTGGGTTTCCAAGATGATAGCACTACGGAAGTAGATTGCCCAACCTTCCTTCCGAGGAGTGGCTGGTGGGTTTGAACCACCAGCCTTCTGGTTAGCAGTCAAATGCGTTAGGCACTATGCCACCAGAGCTCCCAAGAAGAGGATTAGTAGTTGGAAAATAAGGTCTTGATTATAGAAATAACTCTGGAGATCCCATAATAGAATTTTGCAAGACTAATGACTTATTCTTGCATATACCTTTTTTCAACAACAAAAATTGACAATTGCATGGACCTCACCAAATGGAATACACAGGAATCAAATGGACTATATCTGTGGAAAGAGACAATAGAGAAGCTCAATATTATCAGTCAGAACAAGGCCAGGGGCTGACTGTGGAACAGACTATCAATTGCTCATATGCAACTTTAAATTGAAGCTGAAGAAAATGAAAACAAGTCAATGAGAACTAAAATATGAACTTGAGTTTATCACACCTGAATTTAGAGACCATCTGAAAAATAGATTTGAAACATTCAACACAAGTGACCAAAGACCAGATGAGTTGTGGGAAGACATGAAGGATACCATACATGAAGAAAGCAAAAGATCATTTGAAAGACAGGAAAGAAGGTAAAGACCAAAATGGATGCCAGAAGAGACTGAAAATTGCTCTTGAAGATAGAGTAGCTAAAGCAAATGGAAGAAATGATGAAGTAAAACTGCTAAACAGAAGATTTCAAAAGGCAAAACAAGAAAAAAAGTATTGTAATGAAATGTGCAAAGACCTGGAACTAGAAAGCCAAAAGGGAGCATTTGCTGACATTTCTCAAGCTGAAAGAACTGAAGAAAAAATTCAACCCTTGAGTTTTAATATTGAAGGATTCTATGGGCAGGATATTGAACTACACAGGAAACATCAAGGGAAGATGGAAGGAATTGCAGAGTCACTGTACCAAAAAGAATTGGTCACTGTTCAGCCATTTCAGGAGGTAGCTTATGATCAAAAACTGATAGTATTGAAGGAAGAAGTCCAACCTGCACTGAAAGCATTGGCAAAAAACAATTGACAGAATACCAATTTAAATGTTTCAACAAACAGATGCAATGCTGAAAGCATTCACTCATCTATGCCAAGAAATTTCTAAGATAGCTACCTGGCCAAAAACTGGGAGACATCCATATCTGTGCCCATTTGAAAGAAGGTGAACCAACAGAATGCAGAAGTTATCAAACAAGATCATTATATCACATGCAAGTAAAATTTTGTTGAAGATCATTCAAAAATGGTTGGCAGCAGTCCATCATCAGCGAACTGCCAGAAATTCAAGCCAGATTCACAAGGGGACATGAAATGAGAGATATCATTGCTGATGTCAGATGGATCTTGGCTGAAAGCAGAGAAATATGTTTCCCTTGTGTTTTACTGACTGCAAAGGCAGTTGACTGCGTGCATAACAAATTATGAATAACACTATGAAGAATGGGAATTCCAGAATAATTGTGCTCATTCAAAACCTGTACATAGACCAACAGGCAGTTGTTCAAACAGAACAAGATAATACTGCATTATTTAAAATCCAAGAAAGGTGTGTGTCAGGGCTGTATCCTTTCACTGTATTTATTCAATCTGTATGCTGAGCAAATAATCTGAGAAGCTCTAATGTATGAAGCAGAACAGAGCATCAGGATTAGAGAAAGATTTGTTAACAATCTGCAATATGCAGATGATACAATCTTGCTTATTAATTGCTTGCTTGAAGCAATTATTGATGAACATCAAAGGCTACAGCCTTCAGTATGGATTATTCCTCAATAAGAAGTAAACAAAAATCCTCTCAACTGGACCAATTAGCAACATCATGACAAATAGAGAAAATATTTTCATTTTACTTGGATCCATAATCAATGCCCATGGAAACAGCAGTTAAGAAAACACAAACTGTGTTACACTGGGCAAATCTGCTGCAAAAGATCTCTTTAAAGTCTTAAAGAGCAAAGATGTCAATTTGAAGACTAAGGTGCACCTGGCCCAAGCCATGGTCTTTCAGTACCCTCATATGCATGAATGTGAGAGCTGGACAATGAATAAAGAAGAATGGGTGCCTTTGAAATATGCTATCAGCAAAGAGTATTAAATATACCATGGACTGTCAGAGGAATGAACAAATTTATATTGGAACAAGTACAGCCCAAATCCTCCTTAGAAGCAAGGATGGTAAGACTTCATCACATGTACTCTAGACACGTTATCAGGAGGGACTGGTCCCTAGAGAAGGACATCATGCTTGGTAAAGTAGAGGGTCCCTGAAAAAGAGAAAAACCCTCAACAAGATGGATTGACAGTGACTGCAGCAGTGGGCAATAATTGTGAGGATGGAATAATTGTGAGGATGGAACAGAACCAGGCAGTGTTTATTTCTCTTATACATAGGGTTGCTGTGTGTTGGAACAGACTTGATGGCATCTGACAGCAGCAACATGTTTTGAGAAAGTGATGCTCTGAACTATGCATGTTGCTGTTGTTAGGTGCCATTGAGTTGGCTCCGACTCATACTGACCCTATGTATAACAGACTAAAACACTGCTTGGTCCTGCACCATCCTCACAATCCTTGCTATGCTTGAGCCCATCGTTGCAGACACTGTTAATCCATCTTGTTGAGGGTCCTCTCTTTACTGACCCTTTACTTTACCCAGCATGATATATATCTCCAGGGAATGGTCCCTTCTGACCATATGACCAAAGTAGGTGAGATGAAGTCTGGCCATTTTCGCTTCTAAGGAGCAGTCTGGCTGCACTTCTTCCAGGACAGATTTGTTCGTTTTCTAGAAGTGCATGGTATTTTCAGTATTCTTCACCAACACCATGATTCAAAGGCGTTGAAATATGCACAAGGAGAAATAAATGTGACAGGAGAGGGGACCTGCAGTTGGAAAAAGCAATCTGGGTAGCAGGGCTATTTCACTCAGTACTCTGAGCTCAGTCAGCCCAAATGATTTGTCCTCTGGGAGCACAAAGATTTATTGAGTAATTTACTAGAAAAAAATATGGTGCTCGCTTCCCAGGAGCCCTGAGCACACTGTCAATTGCATTAAGAGCAATTATCTCCAAGGTATTGGGAGCGCTGCACTCTGTACTCCAGGGAATTCATCAAGTCTGAGAGTTGAATCCCTTGGTAACCCCTACAAGGAGTGTCAGTTACAGGGCGTCATTTTGCACAGTGTCCAGAAGTCAGGGCACCCACAGCCAAGGTCCAGCTAGAAGCCTGCAGCATCACATTGACCTTGGTGTCAGAGCTGCCCCAGGTCAGCATCTCCACTGAATCTGGTTTTCAAACATCCTGAGGATTCCCAAGACTTAGAATCTACTCTTGACAACACTTAAGGTGAAATAAACACTCATCTCCCTCCTCTAGTCTCCATCTAAAATTAAAAAGATCTGCTTCTTGGGCCCCTACTAGGTCCCATCTGGGTGACCAAGAGCCTTGTTTCCCTGGGACAGTTCTGGTTTACACCTGTGCCCTGGTATTCACTCCAGTATGATGTTTCTACAGGTCAAAAAGTCAACAGCCTCTCCCCCAGCTATTGGCTTCCACCTCCCAGCTGTGTCTGAATCCATAGCCCTGACTTCATCCCAGTGAGGTAAGTATACCTCTCTATGCCTCAATTTTCTTACCTGTACTGGGAAGGTATGGAAATTTAACAGTGTTCTTACTCTGATACTGGAGAAAATGCCATGTACTTAGTGCAGGGGAGAAGGGCAGCTAGTCAGAGGGTTAATTAGATGAAAGGGGAGTGCTCTTGGTTTGAGTGGCCAGGTACTGCTGGCTTCAGCCACAGGTGGTTAACTAAAAGGTATGAAGTTGGTGACAGCTGGAACTGAATAATGTAACCAGATGGCCTGTCCACATAATGTCTGAACCCTCATTCAACAACAGGCTCCAACACAAGGTAAGTGCTGCTTTAAGGCAGGAAGTTCTCTGAGGGCTAGGAATGGTGGGTCTCCCTCCCCTTGGGCTACTCCAGGGCTGAATGGAGGAATGCGCTCATT